TTTTAGGCGAAATACCCAAAAAGAAGTTTGTAAAAAAATGAATCCGCCTCAACAATATAGAACTTATCTACAGTTTTATTTAATCGTTGAACTTAAAAAAACACACAACCATAGTGACAAATTAGTTCTTAGGTCAAATGAACCTAATGGAATAATAATTGGAAATCACCTTATTTCCAATAAGTAGACCAAAAGACCTGAAGCCCATACACAAGCCTTTCCTGGAATATCCTCATTATTATATTACGTAATATTGTAGGGGCTTTAGGTCTATTCTTCAGGAAAATGATACATGTATTTCTGGCAAGATCGACCACAGCCCGGACAGTACCAGTAGCTCAACACTCCTACAGACGCTACAAAAAGTAAGTTGGGAATCGCTAAAGAAAGTACGAGATGCCGCAAAGTGTCGTCCCAGGAGTATCGCGATACCACCATCTCCGAATAGACTCTACTATAGTAGCAAGGAAAAGCAGTGCCTGCAGTCCCATAGCCGTACTGCTTGGCGAATTGGGAGCAATTTACTGAGGGCGGATACCCACAGCCTTCAGTGTTAATTAAAAATCGGGTGTCCGAGACGTCCCAATGCAATTTCTGATTTTTGTACTGGCTGAAAGGTACTTTGCTGTAATTGACATAAATCTGGTGACATCTGGTAGCTTCCCTCGTACAACCTTCTCTACAAGATGACCAAGAACAATTAGAAATACCTTCAGCGTACACGTGAGTCGTTGCTACGCAAGTGACTGGTCGTGGGTCATAATTTGCCAAAAGGCTGTTGATGGCTGGGTCCACCACAAATGGTATAAGGAAGAGAAATGCGAACACTGATACAAATGCGGTGGTTCCCAGGCATAACGACGTGTAGAATTTTGCGGTTTCCGCAATGTTTATCAGCGTGAGGGCTGATTTGGACATGCTTCGCTATGTTCAAGTTAAGTGAAGCAAAGGATCGTGAACAGGATTTTGATACTGACGCCTTCCCCTAGCAGATGGAGGCAATTATTTCGTCTAACTATCGACTGCATCAATCTCGATCCAGCAAGAGGGGAACGCCTGCAACAAACAGTGTTGTTGTAAGTTAGTAGTTCGGAGGCAAAATAACTGTTCATTTTCTTCTAAATTAAATTTATAACAATATAATTATTGATAAGTTGTTTCTCTTTGGGGATTCCTTGTAGGCAGTGATGCTACCAAGCTTTCGGCTATTTATTTTTCCGCTAACTAACAATTAATCACATGATTAATCATCAATGATTGATCAGACACCAGAAAACGAAAAGGTATAGAAGAAAACGATAATTGAGAGGAATTCCGCATTTATAGCATTGCGAATTTTTAATCCAATTCATTTTACAGCTTTTAACAGTCGTGGCACTAACTGGTAAACATTCAGGAACGGATTTCATTGAGCCTTTTCTTACTAGTTAATAATTCTGATTGCTTAGGTCTGGTGATCGAGGTGGCCTATTTTAGCTCCACCTCTTCCAATGGATATCTGTATTCAATCGTTTTATCTAATATTGGGCTGAAACGAGGAGGAACCCTTTTATGGGCATGGATCATCTGTTTGGCAGAAATTTTAAATAAACTTGTATCGCGACATTTGAGGCATTGAGCCTCAAATAAAAAGCCTAAAAATGTTGAAGGTTTTCCTGGGTTTTGACTCAAAATGGATGTTGATGCCCAACTGGAGTCTGTTTTTAAAAAAATCCTGATTGTTTTAAGTTAAAAATCCCGATTGTTTAGGTCAGGTGATCGCGGTGGCCTGCTACTGTTTCACGTCGTCCAATTGATCGTTTTTCAATCACTTCATGTAATATTCGACTGCGTGAGCTTCTTCATTTATGGCCATAAATCGCTTGTTTACGAGAAATTCCGAATAAATTTAAAATATGACAGAAAACCAATTGTACAATCGCTTCATCCTTCATCATTGCCTAGCCCGAATCCCCAATGAAAAAGCTTATCAATTATTCGTATATCGGTCAAGAAACTATGCTACTTAGCAGGGCCGGATTAACTTGTGGTAGGGCCCGGGGATACGATCCTTGCAGAAGCCGTTTCTAAAAAAAAAGAAAAGCCGCAATATAGATCTTACTGAGGCCTCCGATATCGTAAGACCCGGGGCTATAGCCCCCGTAGCCCCCCTAGATCCAACGCTGCCCCACCCTTGAAAATTTAGATTTTTTCAAAAAATCGACCCCCACCCTTGGAAAAATTTCGGCCAAAAATCAAAATTTCACATGCGTGTTTTTTGAGCTTAATCGATTCCTTTCGACGTAAGAACGTCACAAATGTGCAGTTATAGAGCGTTTGGGTCAATAAGAAGAAAGAAATCGTCGGCTAAAGAACGTGAAGGCTCAAAAAACGCTTAAAATGTGCCAAAAATGTCTTTTATTTCGGATGTGAAACTTCTAGTGTGTTTTTCAATGAGTTCGATGCATTCCTGGCGTCCGTGCGCTGAAAGTGATGTAAAATGTAAGACATTTTGAGAAAATTTTAATTTTTTCAAAAAATCGACCCCCACCCTTAGAAAAATGTTGACCAAAAATCAAAATTTCACATGCGTGTTTTTTGGGCTCAATCGCTTCCTTTCGACGTAAGAAAGTCACAAATGTGCATTTATAAAGTGTTTGGGTCAATAAGAAGGAAGAAATCGTCGGCTAAAGAACGTGAAGACTCAAAAAACGCTTAAAATGTGCCAAGAATGTCTTTTATTCGGATCTGAAACTTCTAGTGTGTTTTTCAATGAGTTCAATGCATTCCTCGTGTCCGTGAGCTGAAAATGATGCAAAATTTAAGATATTTTGAGAAAATTTAGATTTAAAAAAAAAATCGACCCCCACCCTTGGAAAAATTTCGGCCAAAAATCGAAATTTCACATGCGTGTTTTTTGAGCTTAATCGATTCTTTTCGACGTAAGAAGGTCACAAATGTGCAGTTGGTAGAGCGTTTGGATCAATAACAAGGAAGAAATCGTCGGTTAAAGATCGTCAACGGTCAAAAAACGCTTATAAAATGCCGAAAATTTCTATTTTTTCGGATCTGAAACATCTAGCATAATTTTCAGTGAGTCCGATGCATTCTTCGCGTCCGTGCGCTAAAAATGATGTAAAATTTAAGACATTTTGAGAAAATTTTCATTTTTTCAAAAAATCGATCCCTACCCTTAGAAAAATTTCGACCAAAAATCAAAATTTCACATGCGTGTATTTTGAGCGCAATCGATTCCTTTCGACGTAAGAAGGTCACAAATATGCATTTATAAAGTGTTTGTGTCAATAATAAGGAAGAAATCGCCGGTTAAAGATCGTGAACGCTCAAAAAACGCTTAAAATGTGCCGAAAATGTCTATTTTTGCAGATCTGAAACTTCTAGCTTGTTTTCAGTGAGTCCGATGCATTCCTCGCGTCCGTGCACTGAAAATTATTTAAAATTTAAGACATTTTGAGAAAATTTTCATTTT